TTGGGGCGCTTTTCTTTTTTTTTTCTTTTTTCTTCTTTTTTTTTTTTTTTTTTCGGCAGAAACATAATACTATTTGGCGAAAAAAAGAAATTACCAGCGAAGGGCCGGGGAGATTAACATTTGGAAACTTATGAAATGTAATCTGCATATCCAATTGATTCCCAGCATATCAGTTGAAAGGATAAAGATGCATATCTCCATGATGGATATTGCATTAATAGGCACATAAATAAAGGTTGAAAAGTCATCACCGAAAGCTTTGAACCTTTTTCCATCGCTTTTATGTCTCATCCGCACGTCTCAGCACCCTCTCTTTTTTTTTTTTTTTCTTTTTCTTTTTTTTCTTTTGAGTTGTTACGTTTTCGTTAATTTACAACCACAGCACACACGGCAGCCCGAGACGGGCTCGGTGCGGGGCGCGGAGCTGGCGGGGCGGCTCCGTACCAGAGGAGGCTCCGTGTAAGGACGGGGACAGGGGACAGGACACCCCACAGCCCCCTAACCAGCCCGGGCATCCCTGAGGCGAGCCCGGGGACCCCTTCAGAGCCCCGCTCTCCGGGTCGAGGGGAAAGGAGGGGGCTTTGCCGCTGCCCCTCGTAAGGAGGACTTCTCTTCCGAGGGTATGTCCGCGGGGATCGCCTTTGCCAGGACGGCGGAGGAAAGGGAAATCTGGAGGGTGAAGGCAAAGCGCTTCCGTGGGTGGGTAGATCCGAGGTAGCTCCGGCCACCGGAGCCCCGAGGGAGCCGTGCGAGGGAGCGAACACCCAGGGGAGCCCCCTCCGCTGCCCCCTGCCCGCCGGGTCTGGCCCCCGGGGGGCCGGCTGTGCCTCGGACTGGGGGGTGGTCCCCGGCAAGTGGGAAATCCCATTCCCCGAAGTCCGGCGAGGCTGCCCGTGGGACAAGGCTGAAACACTTAACCCTACAAATGGCTCTCTTTGCGGCACCGGCCGCCCTGGCTCTCCCTGTAAAATGGCAATAAATACAACATGTATTTCACTAACTCCTCACCTTTCTGATTACTACCAGATCCCGCAGTAAGCGATACTACAGCTGCCACTCCATACTAACACATGCCTGCTGGGACGAGGACAGAGATGCATCTGCGGTCGCGGGGCTGAGGGGCAGGAGGGACCGGCGGCGTGTGCGCTCCGGGCCGGTCCCCGCGTCCCGGGGAAGGTGCCCGGGGGCGGGGACTCACTTATTTATGAGTTTAAAAACTGCGATCGAATTTCGGATTAATCTCGGAGAAGGGAGGTTTAGTCCACCGGGAGTTTTGCTGCAGTGAAGGGTCCACAAAAGTTTTACGGCCCCAAAGCTCGGACTGATCAAATAAATACATTTGGCTTGGGAATAAGGGATTTTCGCAGCAGTTTTTTGGGGGGACGGGACGAGGAACACGCGTGGCCTTGCGTGACCCACTCCGAGGTCAGCTGGTGAGGAGGCGAAGCCCTGTCCGCAAAACTTCCAGAACAACGGGAATGTCACCTATATTTTTCCGGACGATTTTGATACTTAAATAACACGGGGAGATCTAAACTATTCTCAGGGAGAAACGTTTACTATCTGACTGGAAGAAAGGGTGGCTTCTATTTTATTTTTATGGTTTCATTCCATTTACTTCGAAGCCTGCAATAGTTACAGCTTTTTTTTTCGACAGAAGAATATTTTCCTGTCTCTTAATATTCCCTGGCCGAATCATGAGTCCTCATTTATGATGTGGGAATCAAACTGGAGTTATTGCTCATCACCACATTTTCTAATTCATAAAAAGTCTTATTCTTTCCATTCTAAAGGCCAGCAAATTTTGATTTATATGGCAAGCATATTTCTCAAATTTCAGTCATTAACACCCCTCCCCCCCAACCAAATGCTGGTTTTGCTATTCGCTATTATTCAAAAGACAACAAAACAATGACTGAAAGGGATTTGTTAGATTTTGCTAAATGGTTATACAACCTAGAGATAGGATGGGGAAACGTTGCTTACATCTGGACTTGTAATGAGCTGAAGTGATTTAGATTCCTTGACAAATCAGGATTAGGTTTGGGGGACAACTAATAATTAAAAAAAAAATAAAGTAAAAATCTTTCAAGGTATTCCTCCCAATTTTCATAATCCAATGAGGCAAATCAACCTCACGATATTTGTTTACTGTAAAAATCTCCTTAAAATAGCTGAGATATTTCTCAGATGAAGCTATTTGTAAGAGATGACAATCACCTTGATTCAAAATCTCACAATCTGCATGATGTGAAAAATATGCCTGAGAACCAGAGCTGCAAGGCCAGTTTCAGACCTGGGTGGTTTAGTAAGAGGAGAAACACACCAAACGGGGAGCCAGTATCGCTCCTTCCCCATAATACGAGCGAAAGGATTTTATACTGCACTGATCAAAGATCAACATAGTTGAATACATCTAGAATATATGTATCCCCCATGATGGAAACTGTGTTAACGTAGTTTCAGTATTTCTTCTCAATATCTCCATTTCTACATGCATCTGGATAAAATGCAGAAGCAGCGTAAGTTGCAGGGCTTTTATTAAAGTGAGCCACCAAATTTAAATATCTTTCAGAAACATTAGAAATCATAGCCACGAAAGACCCATTGCCCCGTCTGAAACACGAAGACAGCATTTGTAATGTTTGTGTGAAGATCTTGCACCAACAGGCAACTGACAGGGAGCCGCCTCTGATGTGGTTTAAATGAGCAGAGGCTAATACAAACGAAGATTGAAGTTTTCTTTGGCAATATAATATGCTAACAAAATTAACTAACTTCCAGTGAGATAAAGCATATTCTCTAGACCAGCAGAACAGACAGGGATATTATAGCTACAAAACGTCTGTAACACAGGGAAAAGGACTACTGAGCTCAGGAGGATTTCAGTGCACACCAAGAGCTCTGACAAAGTTAGGCAAACAATTCTCCTACAGATTTATTTCCAATCAATGTTAGGCACTCAATATCGTGTCCAGAAACATACCTCACACCATATTAATATCAAATGCACTGGTTATGCTCAAGCCCGCAGGTCAGAGATGATTAATAACCATTCCTCTGAATGATGTACACATTCATATTTAAATAGTCGTCTTCAGTAGCTGTTAAATTTTCACTGATACACAGAACACACTGAAACGGGAAAGAGACTGGACTGTGCCAGGCATGAACATGAGCGAGGGAGCTGCAACAGCACTTCTCCTTGGGATTCACAACTATTCCCCTAAGGAAAGGGTATCAGTACCAGGGCTGATGACACGATCACAGCTTATTTCCAGAGAAGGATGTAGCTCACATGCACCCAAAATTCCCATTCAGCGGGATTTTGTCTGTGTGTACAACCAGCAGTCTTGGCCAGTTGGAACAATTCACCCACTCTAGTAGATTTCAACTGTAACTACACCTGTGTTCTTCAGAGTCTGTGGTAACTGTGTGAAGGCAACCCACTCTTCTATCATTTGCAAAAGACATTTTATACAAAGTGTGAGACACAATAAGCTACTTTGGGCTATAAGCCTTGAAAGCAAACCTGAATGCCTGTGAATGGTAATTTGAGCCACAAAGGAAGAGCATTAAGGTAAGAGGCAAAAGTATTTCCGGCCCAAACCATGAAACGTATACACCTGTAATCCACCATATTTCAGTAATACATTTTTACAGTGCAAGGAATAAATAATGGAAGCTTATTCTTTTCTGTTCTCTAAGGTATAAATACCAACAGAAACTTGCTTTTCAGAGTAAGATGGTCTTTTGGGTTCTCAGCCCACAATACTATTCAGCCTGATTTTCAAAATGTGCTTCCAAAATGCTGTCTCAACGCAGACAAAAATAGATCAGACCCGATCTATCAGTCACTTTTGGAAATTCAGGTCATTGGTCTAACTTGCAGGGATGTGCGACTCAGTACCCACTGCTGCTAGCTACTTTTTTATTATTTGGCTTTGTGGTACATTTCTAATGATCATAAATATGAGAGTAACTGCTGTGTTGCTTTTTGCATAATAAAGGAATACAAAAGTATTTCCATATGCAGGTCTTTTAACCAATCCAACTAGGTTTTTATTCCTTCGACGAACTTATGAAATATTCAGGTGTTTTTCTGTCAAACTTGCCTTTCAAAAGATGAATGCCTACTATTACATAAATTAACATTGTATGATTATTTACTACTTGTGGGAAAGTGATGCAGAAAGGAATATAATCATCTTCTCTGCAGCTGCAGTATTTACCAGAGACAATTTCAATGGAGAGAGCAGAAATAAAAATTTCTACGCTGTGGCACTGAAGGTACACGGTATGTGTTGAAAACACAATGGTGCTTTAAAAAAATCAAATTCTTGAGCACAAGTTGTTAAGAAGGGCAACATGAAAGAAGCAAAGTTGTAAGATGGCAGTGATTGTCCTAGCGCATCCCCATAGATCTTAAATGGCAGAAGCATATACTGAGCTTTATCCCATGGATGCAGTTAGCTCCACTGAGAACTTTCCTCAAGCGGAGATGGTAGTTGCCTGTCTCAGGCAGGATGGAAAAGAACAGTTTAGGGTACGTGACAACCCACCCAGGTTCTGTGCTGGTAAGCCGTGTTCTGCTCTCCTATCTGCTTTTTTCTCCCTCTCTTGGACTAATACCACTGATGTCTGGCAGCCAATTCCAAATCACGAACTTAACATTTAGTCTAATCTTCTGGTCTGGAGTCCAGTATGCTCCACTCAGGCAGAGGAATAGGGGGTTACCGCTACACAAAATTCAAGATCTTTTGGCATGACTGGAAACTACAGTTCTTTCAGAGTTCACGCAGCCTGTGATCTCACAGACATCAAAAAACTCCTGAGAAAGATTCAGGCCTTTGTTTACTTTCCTGGTGCTTCCATTTCTCAGCTGTAGCTGCTTGTGCCCCAGACTGTGTGACGCAGGGAAGAGTTGCACAGAAAAAAAAAAAAAAAAAAAAAGCCAGCACCTTGCATTTCCCATGATTTTCCCCCCGGGGTTGTGGAGTAACCCGCAAAAAAACGCAGGGACGAGTTCACAAAAAAAAAAAAAAAAAAAAAAAAAGCCAGCAGCTTGCATTTCCCATGATTTTCCCCACGGTGTTGTGGTATACCCTGCCTTCTCTGCTTTCCCACAGAGTGCCCCAAAGCACCATTTTTTTCTGTCAGATATGTGGATAGTGTAACTGGTGCACACCCCTTCAGCATTCTCTGTGCGTTTTTAAACAACTAGAAAACACAAGTGTTCCAACTAAAATAGTTACAATAATAAAACACCACCAGCCACACAGATTTTCTTTTTGTATTTTACTTTTTTTTTACTGAAACTTGAGCAACGTTTGGCTTTGGACAAGCAATCTGTACACTCAAAGGAACCCAAAATACAAATATAATACTGGGATTCTACAGTAGCCAGAGATGTATACAATGCATGATTTTTTTCTGACTGGTACTGTGATGTGGATCCAGACTAACACTCCTGAAACCAGTGGAGTTTCCCAAAATTTGCATAAGCAGAGAGGATTTGGCATATGGTCAGACTGTCCATTTTAATTTGGCTCTGAAATATTTTCAAATATATGGGTAGGAACCTGATACGTAATACGATCGTTCAATTATGAATAAGCCTGAAAATCCTGTTTAGGCCTGTGATCTTCAACTTTTTGCAACGTGCCAACCTCTAAACATTTTAAAGTTGACCCTCACGAAACCAATTTAAGCTTCTGATCAATTTGCTTTTCTTACTTACCTTTCGCAGATCCTTTAGAAGTAGTCCACGGATCCCAGTTGAAACCATTGGTTTAGTCAAAATGGCAAATACTGTTTACAGAGAAAAGGCAAGAAAACTATGATGTGGAAAGAAAAGAAAAAGCTGGACTATACATTTCTAACTGTAACCAGTATTTCAGGGCATAGCTAAGTTAATAACTGCTGTTGTGACTGCAGCTCCTGTAAACATACCCAAGCTAGCGCGAGCGAGCTCGCTGGCTCAGAAAGTGCTGGCAGCGCATCTGCGCTATCCAAGCAGCTCACTGCAGCCGGAAAGCCCGCAGGAGCAAACTAAGAGCTACGCAGTGAGCTCCAGCAGAGCTCTGCGAGCAGTCGGAGCTACCTTCAGCATGTCTACATGAGATGGAGTTATAGCAGTGACTGCTGGGTGGGCTCCTCTGAACTGCAAGGTACCGGAGCTTACCTGATTGAATAGAAATGCTGATACGCATGCTGCGTTTGCAGTAGAAGCACAAACAGGTAAATCATATATTGGTGCATATGATGTACACATGTACATATTTTATAGATTTATTTTTCTTAGAAAACATTGCTGCTGTTTATGTCCATTAATTTACATATATTTATTCTTACTACAGTATCATTTATAATAATACTTTCACTTCTATAGCACCTCCTCTTCAAGGATCTCCAATTGCTTAAAAACTTTAATAAAGCCTCACATCTTGCCTGTGAGGTAGGTCAACGCTATTATCAAACTTTACAGATGCATTAACTGAAGAACAGAGAGGTTAAGGCCAAAATTTTCAAATGTTTGTACCTGAAGTCAACCATCTAAATTCTCATTTAGATGCTTAAATAAAAGTCTCGTGATTTTCTTTGGTGCAGAACATCCACAACTACTGCTGAAGTCAACAGGGGCTAATGGTCAGGCCTGATTTTAAGAGGCATACACTTTTTACATGGCTAACGAGCAACTCCCAAGTTTGAAAACACTGGTCTAAATACATGAACCACGGTCAGAGCCACAGTTGATCCCAGTAATTTATCTCCTCAGGGCCTTTATATTATTATTATTATATATGACTTTAAAAGGCTGGTGCGGATCTTTTTAAATAGACATAAGTGACACAAAAATCACATACTGTTTCCACAAACTGTGTCCATTGTAACAGAGTCTGTATAAATACCACTTGGGTTTGCAGGTTTTTTGGGGGCGCCAGGGGGGTTGTTTTTCACAGATTTGTGATAATCAAGACAGTGCACAGTACACATCACTTGTGCAGTCATAAAACACATCACACATCTTCACCTGCTGTCTTTACAGTTCTACATAGTAAATTCCTTTGCACTTGTGATAAATAGAAGTGGTCAAGTAAAGGTCTATTAAGAGGATACTTGTCAGAATATCATGCAGACAGCTTGCAAAATACACATACTAAAAGATCACTTTTAAAATTCTTGAATTGTTAAGCACGAAAATAATTACCTCATTCCATTACAGTACTGTGTAGAAACACGGAATAAGCAGCATTATCTTATTCCCAATAGAATATATTATAACAACTAATTAAGTTAAAAAAATTCAGGCACCAAATGAATTATCCTGCAACATAGAACAGTATCTATATAGAGTGCTCTCCTTAATACACTACAAAACCAGCTGTATGGCAATGTTTTTCCATTTCACATTATGAGCATCTCGTCACATTTCAAAGACACCTTTGATGTTCCAACCTCACAGAACAAAAAACATTTTCTACTGGCCTTTACAGAAACTCTTAACACAGAAGAGAAACTTACCAAGAGGGAAAATCACCGTCTTATTATAGCTACCTCCACCGCAGGTAAATGTTTAATACACAAATTAGGCTACCGCATTCCTCTTTTGCAGTGATGCTGAAAGTCCGTATTTTAATGTGGGCTTCTCTCACTGTGTAAAAATTGAAATCAATGGCCAGTGAAATACTACTCTCTACCACAGGAGTCCCTTAGCTCTATTTTAGAGCTCCATTAATTAAATAATCTTACAGAAATTGTTTTAAGTGTGCAACGTCGTTTTTCAGTCTCCCACATTAAATGAGAATTTCAAAGAATTAAATAATAAAGCTTATTTTAAGCAACCAACAGAGGGCCCGGCGGCCTTCTAATAAAATTATAACAAAACCGTACTCAATACATCGTAGGGAAACTTTGGCTCAGTCTCTTTACGATAATACATTTCTGTTACAGCTTCTTCTACATGTACGCGTTAACTTCATAAAAGGGAAAACGCATTTAACACCGTGATCCCGTCCTGCTCCTAACCACAGTGAATCCCTCCGATTATCTTCCAGGTGGGGGCAACAGTAAGCCAGTTTTCTTTAACGGAGACGGTGTCCTTCGGCATCAGGGAGCCGTGAAGCCCGGGCACGCTGCCGGCAGAGGCGGGGAGGAGCGCGCCCCCCGGCCCCGGCGCCCCAGGGAGGCCCTCCGCAGACATCTTGGCTAGCGAGACGCCTCCTGCCCGCCCTCCCTCCGCCGCCCCCCGCCTGCTCACCCCGCCGCCTCGCCCCCCGCCCCAGCCGCGGGGC